ATTGCTTTATGATGTGCAGGGTCAGGATCACGTGACGGACCCGTTCAACCTCAAAAGCGAAACAATAGGCCGGCCTTTTGAAGTTTGCCGGGTTTCATAACCAGTTCCCCTCTACTAACTATGGCCTGGGGGGTTAACGGGGCTTAAATTTATCATGAAGGTTTGAAGAGCCGGGGGCCAAGTCATCATATTATCTAAACGTTCTTCGTTGCGGTTAACATAATGTTTCAAAATGTTGTTGCTGATGAATGCTTGGTGCTAACTTATAAACTTCCTTATTCAATCAGCCCTCCTCCCCGAAAAATCGACCCTTTTTGATCGACACCTACAAGGGGGCGATTGTATTTCTCAGCAGCCTACCATTCGAGGAACCATGCAGCCTAAAGCTGTATTAGTACTGAGGAAATGGTGTTCTTCGTTGTACTATGTTGCACCTTCTGTTCAACATACAAGTAAATTTAACAAACAATTTCACTGAATGAATAATGTGTACTGGTAGACCTTTCACTCCCAGAAGTCGCCGAAGTCAATTCGACAAGGATTCCGAACCTTCATTCAGTTGCAAAAGGAACAAATCGTACCAAATTAAAATCATTGCCAGAAATGGTGGACATTTCGCGCCCGTGATTTATTGTCAGCGGAATCTCATTTCCAAAATGGCGGACAAAAACGATCGTACTCAAGGAAAGCGTATCCCATGCGATTTTTTAAATAATTTGAGTTCTATGGATCTGTTTTACGAAGAAAAAAGCTGGAATGAAACACCTTGCAAGAAAATGTGAGGTTTATACTCGGCCGAGCGGCTGATAGCAACAAAACAGTACGCGGCTGTACCTTTCGTGACATTTTCGTGACATTTTCGTGACAATTTTGTTTTAAAACCAAGCCTGGTAGGCTAATCGAGGATTTTTGAATGCCTGGAACCTAGTCAATATCCCGTGAAGCATCTCTGGAGTTGTAGCAACAAACAAAATGGCGATTCGGTGAGGTTTGGAGTTGTGAAGCTTTGTCCGACCGAAATGTGTCATTCGCAACTATGGCATCCATTACTGGACTACAGATGGAAAACTGAGGGAAATAATGCGCCTTTGGAAGTATTTTCCAGTGCAAAAATCGTCCTTTTAACGACTGTTTTGGAAACATCTTCCATCGCAGAAGTGATATCGAGTGGTGCAAAGTTACTTCAGTGAAGGGTTTATCCTCTAATCGACGAGTATTTCGCATGACTTCGGCAAGATTTTAAGACAATGTATGGAGAAATGGAGCGTAAAACGAGAGATAAAAGTGGCCACTTCGGGAAGTAAGTAAACCTACTTCTAATTAGCTATTTTTAACCCAGATGCGAAGGTTGCACAACACTTAACATGTTTCGAGTCGTGCACCGAACACCCGTGAGCTCATAATCGATATATTTGAAAAAGTTTCCTTTTCTCCATACATTTTCTTATACGAATTCGCAGCCATTGTGGCCTTGGTGCGCACGCGCAACCGCCATCTTGTCCCTAATTTCTGGCAATGCTCTGCTGAAAGAAATTCATTTGAATGGTAACCACCGTATATTTCATAAGCTTGCAAACTCAAAAGTTAGAACCACCATATAAGATCCCATTATTAACTCTGGGAGTGAGACACGTCTCTCGTTGATCAATCAAACAGTGTTAGAGTTTTTGCGGTAACAAAAGAATTCTCCAAATACAATGTAGCAGCTTCAAAGTCCACTGTCTTTTAGATGCGAATCTAAGCACCTCTTTAAATTCACCCGTTAAACTGTTCAGCAACTTCACGATTCGAGAACTCTGCTACCTACTGGAAGAGTTTTGAGTTTCCTTAGTTTTATCGTAATTGTTCTCACCATTACACCTAAATTATACCGCGCAGCTAAAACATATAGTTTTTTCACCGAATTGCTTACTGGGGTCCTTTCTTACCTTTTTGGCAAGTACTGTCCTGGCTGACTGATCTGGAAATGAGCGCAGTGCAAGGACGTCTGTGCTTAATTCAGACACTGATCTCCTCAAATAATGGCTTCTTGATATAGACGAGGTACGGGTTTGCTGAAAAGTGTTCAAATATAATATCCTTTGCTCCGTTCCAGGGACTGGTTCCCTTTCCTTCATTTGCCACCTTTTTAATAAGCAGCTCGAAAGTATGAAGCTAAGTTTTTGTTGTAGACAGTTTCAGCGCCGTGTTATTACATGAACAAATGTTAACTATGAACTACTGTTATACTCATCGTTATCTGACCCAACAAATCGAGAACACAGGTGCAAGTTAGAGGAACGGGAAACTGTCAATGTCAACATTGAGATAGCTTAATCAGAAATAGGCCCGCAGGCTCCTTTACCTTATGAATTAATATTAATAACTTATAATAAAGTAGTTTCAATGTCACAGCTAATTGAAACATTTAAAATTGCAAAGTACTGTTTGTTGTGTTTTAAAAAAAAAATGTGTGGCCGGGCAAAATGGCCACTTCTTATACTGAACAAACAGCTCAGCTGGTTCTCCAATTTTGTTGTTGTTCTTGTTCTTGTTCTTGTTTTGACTGATCAAACAACTGAAACAACTTTACCTGTATCTAGTAATTTACAGATGATAAAAATTTGCAAAAAAATTATTTATAGATCCGGCAACTTGATCTGTTTTATTGGTTTATAATAGTGGCTCTGTCGTTCGGTTTTTAAAAGCTATCTTGTTCAGTAGCGTTTTTTGCATACATTAGTGCGTGACTTATAATCACTCAAATGCGGATTTTTAGTCATCAAGGCTTTCTTTAATGAGCATGTGTTCTAAAGAAAAACAGAAATTCACCAGGACATTTGATGGCAAATACCCACGGCAATTTTAACGCAACTAACTAAAAGGATAAACTACGCAATGTAGGCTCAGAAAGGGTTCAAATTAGAGTTATTGGAAACTGAGACACAAAAAGACAGGTGTTTGTTAAACCAGTTGCACCAGTTTGATGAAAATGAAAACTTTTGACCAAAGACAGCGGGCACCTCGTTCATGCGTCGCTAAAATTGGGTGGCCATTTAAAATGACACCATAACTATTTGGCAGTTAAAAATACTGCTCCCTTATTTTACGGTCTTGTCAGCCCTAATGGATAAGAAATGTTAAATAGTCACATTAAAGAGAAGCGACTTTTAACCACATTTAGCTATAAAAATTCCGGCAATTTGACTGCCTCGTTTACTAAATGTTATTGATAAAAGACTTTAAGCCTACTCAGAGAGACTCCAATGAGCTATTGCTTTTCTTGTATTTACAGTATATAACATTCATATTGTATGTTCAGTTTTTACCTGATAATGAGGTCCAAGAACGTCAAAACGTCGAAAACTTTTTGACTTTTTTAAGAAAAGTTTTAACGCAATTTTTTATAGCTATCTGGTCACAAAGGGACAAAATACAATTGCAACGAATATCACTTACTGTAAACAAAAAATTGATGTATTTTGGTCAAATAGCCACTTTTCTGCCATAAGGCCACCCGGCCTCCGCCCCCGCTCACTATCTCTGCAACTCGCTACTCAAGTCCTACGCGTCCCAACTACGAGATCAACTCGGGACCAAAGTATGAAGATATCCGCCTGTGTAGGGTTCAGAGCTGATTGTCCGGTAGTTGGTATAATAGTTTAGAAGTTTGACAAAAACTGTTAACACGCTGCATTCCCTAGACCTCGGTTGTTCAAACGTTGGATAGCGTTATCCAGCGGATAAGTATTAGGAAAAGACCAATTGCCTTATCCACTGGATAGAGATCGGCTTTATCCAGTAGAAAGCGTTATCCAACTTTCGAACCACTAGGCCTAGAACGTAAACAAATTTTCTTTGTCTCAAAAGTCCCAAAAAGTCTCAGTAGGAGAAGTTGCTCCAAAACGGGATTTATTGGAATCCTCTAAGTCCCCTCTTTCGTGGCGCATGGAAACGAGGTTCTCATGTACGCTTTTAATTAAGGTGGCTGAACACAGTTTTGCAGGCGGTCAGCGGTAGCTCGTGTGACAGCGCGTATTTTAAATTAGATAAAAAAACATGGCGGCGAAAAAGCAATGGTACACAGAAGACGATATCGCAAAATCTACTCATTAGAATTTTGTGATATTAGGTAGAATTTTTACTTTTATCGTATTTTAAGCAATGAGAACTTTAAAATGGAAGTTGAACTGATGAATTTTGTGACACATTTAATAATTACACTACAATTATATTATTGATTGTCTAAAAACCAGTCTGTTAAAATTTGGTCAAATAAGTTTCAAATGGTAATGATTAATCATAGTTAGCTGTGTGCAAGTTTGTAGGAAAATTTAATGAGCGAATTTTATGTAAACTTAGGAAAAGCGAAATTTTAAGGTTGCATTCAATTGTTCATGTTGCCATGGAAACTACGAAAACGTCAAATTTTACCTGTCAATCAAAATCTTTCATCAGTATTTTTTTCACTTGCCAAGTTTCAGCTTGTGAGCTACAACCTTTCCCTTGCCCTGATTTGGCAAATGACATATACTCACAAACTGCCAAAACTATGTTCAGCCACCTTAAATGAAATAGAGGCGACAACAACAAAAAATCCAAGTAGTGTTGCAGTTACCATAGTGTTTTTATACCTCTTTGAACCTTCATAAAACTTGTCTGTCCAAGTAATTTTCTCTTGCTTTTCTTTTTCAGAGTCCAACCTTTTAGGTGGCTAAAAATATATTGTATCTGTCACCTGCTGATTTGAGTACTTTTAAACCATTCTAGAATATTCATCATACCACATCTAGCCTCGCTTTCATGTCATAACATATGAGTGCAATATAGACAACCAATTCGAAGGTCTAAATGATCCAGCGAAGCTTGTCATACAAAGTATAAGCGCATAATTTTGATCTAAAAAAGTATATTTTCCAACATTTCCGCGAATTTGCCGACAGAAGTTCTCTTTTGCGAAAGTTGTCCCAGTCTATAAAGTGATTCTGAATGTTTACTAAAAATAACGGCTTTTATTATTT